GTGGATACAGTGTGGACCTGCAGACTTAAGGGTCCCGGGTTCGATTACAGTCAAGAGCACATGCCCAGATTGTGGGCTCAATCTCCAGTGTGGGATGGGCAGGAGGCAGCTCATCAATGATTCTTGCTCATCATTGGTGTTTCTATCTCTCTCCCTCTCTTTCTTCCTCTCTGAAATCAATAAAAATATACTTTTTTAAATATATAGTCTTTTAAAAAATTTTTAATACATTTAAATTCTCTTTGTATCCCTACTCCAATCCTACTCCTCTCCTTTATTTCACGGATGTCTACCTATAAATTTAGTGTTTATTCTTTCTTTCACCTTTTAAATATTATTTACTATATATCTGAGTAAAGATAAATAATAAAAAGTATTTTGTGTGCTTTAAAAGTTTATATAATGTACATTAATAATCATAAAATACTTAACAATTTTTTCACTTGTTATAATTTTGAAATTTATTCAAGTTAATACTTAAAATGTAGTTTCTATATTCCAAGTGCTATATAATATAATGCATTATAAATGTAAACATTCTATAGTTTATTTATCCCTTCCCTCATTTAAGATATGTAGGTTGTTTCCAATATTTCACTAATACAAACAATGCTGTGATAAACATTCTTGTTCATATCTCCTGTCTTCTTGAACAAAAACTGATTTACAAATATACATCTCCAGAAGGAATTTCTGAGTCATAGGGCATTTCCATCAGAATCTGCACTAGTTTATGCTGCAGTAACAACCAACCTGAACATTTTAGTGTTTTCAAATAACAATAACTTTTTCATTCATTCTGCATGTCCTGTGGCACTGTTCACTGTTGTCTTCACTCAAGAGCCCAGACTGATAGAGCATTTTCTTTTTAGAATACTGTTTTGGCAAAGACAAGAGAGAGATAGCAAACCACTATTGAAGTTTCTGCACAGAAGTGACACAAACCACTTTCTGTTAGCACTTTTATTAGACAGAACATGTTGTATGGGCCTAAGTTCAAGACAGTGGTAACATATTGTCTTCTCATGGGGATGGGCATGGCAAGGAAGGGTTCGCCAAATGTAGAGAATAATCCAGTCCTCAACCTTGGATGTGCACATCTTTGTCATTACTAGGTCAATCAGTCAGAATTTGAATAAAGAAATTCTATATCAAAAAAGTATTAACTCATAGAAAGTGGTTAACTACTAAAGGAGATAAAGAGAACTCTAAAGAATAGAAGGGTTACATAATGTAGGTAGCAGCTTCTGCCTCTAGGGCTGAAGAAAAGTGAGAACTCTTCTCCCCTCAGGCAGAGATTCAGACCTTGAGGAGGGTCTATCTGTGGCCCCCTGGGTGGTAGAAAGGTCACTGAGGTGCTGCAGGCCAGCCTGCTGAGCAGGAAATCATCAGCTGAGATACCAGCTAAACTCACTGGAGGGCTAGCATCCCCAAAAATCCCTGGCAACTGCCCATTTCCTAGGCTAAGAAGGAAAAAGTCCACCAGATCCAGTAAGTGGAGCCCCTTCCTCTTGCTGTGGACTAGCTCCTGGAGGTTCAACAGAATATGCAGAGCTGGAGAGCACGCTGTACTTTCCACGACCCAGCTCACCTGTGTCATTTCCAGCATCCAGAGCAAGTCAAAGTGGAGTACGTTGTGGGGGGCCATGAGTGCCCCCCACACCCCAACTGTGGGGACTGATGAGGAAAGCAAACTTTATGAGAACATGTTCCAGACAAGTACAGATAAGAATCCAGGCCAGGATCACACTGCCTCTATCTTCATATTGAGCATCCAGCACAGTTAATTTATCCTTTCAATTATTCATTCATTTAATATTTATTAAGCATGTACTACCCTGTTTCCCCGAAAATAAGACAGTGTCTTATATTAATTTTTTTTCCCCAAAGTTGCGCTAGGTCTTATTTTCGGAGGATGTCTTATTTTCGGGGAAACACAGTAGTTGGATTTGCATCAGCAGGAAAAGTCAGGAATTGGTTACTACTCCGGTAACTCTGGCACTTCCAGTTGGCCAGGGAGGTAATGGACAATCTCCAAAGGAACAAGGAATCAGCTGGATGATTTATCTCTCCAGTTAGAAAAGTCACCCATGTCTCTTCAAGGCTGGGCAGATTCTCATCTCTTCTCAATGAGGGAAAAGAAAGTGGGTTTGCCATTCAGTGCATTAAAAATGGTAGTTGCTAATTGTGTGTTAGGGTGTTGTGCATGTGGTGTGTGTAGTGTATATATATAAAATTGATGTTTTAATTTCTAGACAGGTGCCAGAGGCAATTGTAGTCACTTTATGTGCATCAGATCCTCACTACAACTATAGATAGTCATTATTAATACTATGAACTTAATTTTTCTGATGAAAATGAAGCTCAAAGAAGTGGAATAATATGTCAGAAAATGTCATTCTAAAGAGTGGCAGATCTCAGATTGGATACAGGCCTCTGACTTACATTCATACTTTTTTTAGTACTTTTTAAAAATGTATTTTATCCAACACTGAATATATACAAAAGAATACTGAAGATATACTAGTACAGTATAGAGAATAACCAAAACGTGAACACTTACCCCTTCAGGCACACGCAGGGCCTATTGCCTCTGCTCCCCCTAGGGTAACCACTATCTGACTCTAATGTTTTTCATTCCCTAGGGAGAAGTTTTAAATAACATTTATTTTGTTAAATAGATATTGAAGTACTCAGAGTTCCTGATTCTTCTAATAATTTTCATAATTTATGTTATCTTTTTTATGGAATTTTCACTGGTTTTTTAAAAACTGTTAGCCACACAAGACTTACGTGTTTTCAGGATAGATGCCCATGCTACTTACTCTATGAATATCACTGACCAAGTTGTTAGATGACAGCTTACTTTACTAGACACAGATCCACACAGCATCTCTGTACATTGTCTCAACTCAGTTACATTTCAGAATAAATTTCAATCTTTCTTTGTGTACTTATGATTAATTTTATAGCTCATCTATTCTTTTCCTTTTTAATTTCTGATACGAATAATTTGTATTTTCTTTGTTATTCATCAATCTTGTTAAGAATTAGTTTCTCAGTGTTACTATTTATTTCAAAGAAATACTTTGGCCTTTGCTGAGTTTTTGTCATATGTTTATTTTCTTTTAATTTACTTCTGTTGTTACCTTTATTATTTTCCTCTTTTGACTTTATTCATGATTTTCTGTCCTTTACAAGCTTATTGAGAAGGAAGCTTAGATCACTGATTTTCAGATTTGTTTCTTCTAATATATAAATTTAAGGCTATACGTATACCTCTAAACACTGTTCGAGCTACATCCCACAGATTGTAACATGTTTTATCCTATCTAATTTAAGAGGATTATGCAAATTAATCATTACTCTGCTATATCCACAAGCCATGCCCACTAACCAATCAGGAGTGAGTATGCAAATTAACCCCAACCAAGATGGCTGCAGCCACAGAGAGAGATGGAGGGAGGCTTAGGTTTCCCTGGCGATGGAGGAAGCCAAGCTTTCTGCACACCCTGGCTGGCCCAGGCCTCTGCTTAAGGCTACAGTTTCAATGATAGAAGATAAATAAATCCCAGTTACCAGGCCTCTGTTTGAGTTACCGGGTGGCGTGGCCAGCCTGCAAACCATCACAGGCTCCTTGCCCAGGCTTCCCCATACCCCAAGGGAACCCCCACCCTGATCCAAGACACCCTTCAGGGCAAACCAGTTGGCCCCCACCCATGCACCAGGCCTTTATCCTATCTAATAAAAGCATAATATGCAGATTGACCATCACTCCAATACACAAGATGGCTGCTCTCATGTGGTCAAAGATCTTGCCCCCATGTGGACACAAGATGGCCACCACAGGATGGCCAGCAGGGGAGGGCAGTTGGGAGGCACCAGGCCTGCAAGGGAGGGCAGTTAGAAGCCAGCAGAGGAAGGGAGTTGGGGGCAAACAGGCTGGCAGCGGAGCAATTAGGGGGTGATCAGACTGGCAGGCAGAAACAGGGGCAATCAGGAAGGCAGGCAGGTGAGCGAGTAGTTGGGAGCCAGCAATCCTGGATTGTGAGAGGGATGTCCGACTGCCCATTTAGAACTGATTCTGGTGGGATCAGAGCCTAAACAGGTAGTTGGACATCTCCTTAGGGGGCCCAGATTGGAGAGGGTGCAGGCTGGGCTGAGGGACACACCCGCCCCCATGCATGAATTTTGTGCATCAGGCCTCTAGTATTTATTGTAATTCAGTATAAAATATTTTCTAAATTCTATTTGATTTCATCTTTCATCCATGGGTTATTGAGAAGTGATATATTTCATTTTCAGGTAATTAAAGAGTATCTAGTTATATTTCTAATTTAACACTGCTATGTTTTGAGAACATACTCTGAATTATTTCAATCAGTTAAACTTCTTTAATGATTGTTTTATGACTCAGTATATGGTCAATTTTTAAAATGTTCCATGTGGAACATGGCGACCTCCAAAGCGAACAGGCCGGCCCCGGCGGCTGGGAAAAGTGGGTTTTGTAACCAGAAGCAGAAGCAGGAGAACTGAGATGAGTCAGAACTCCTCACTGTTCCTGATGGTTGGAAGGAACCAGCTTTTTCCAAAGAGGACAATCCCAGAGGACTCTTGGAGGAAAGCAGTTTTGCAACTTTGTTCCCAAAATATAGAGAGGCTTACTTGAAAGAGTGCTGGCCGTTGGTTCAAAAAGCCTTGAATGAACATCATGTTAATGCAACCCTGGACCTGATCGAGGGCAGCATGACTGTTTGTACAACAAAGAAGACTTTTGATCCATTCATCATCATTAGGGCCAGAGACCTAATAAAACTGTTAGCAAGGAGTGTTTCATTTGAACAGGCGGTACGAATTCTTCAGGATGATATTGCATGTGACATCATTAAAATAGTTCATTAGTAAGAAATAAAGAAAGCTTTGTAAAAAGAAGACAACGGCTTATTGGTCCCAAAGGATCTACATTAAAGGCATTGGAACTCTTAACAAACTGTTACATTATGGTTCAGGGAAACACGGTTTCAGCCATTGGACCTTTTAGTGGCTTAAAAGAGGTTCGAAAAGTAGTCCTAGATACTATGAAGAATATTCACCCAATTTATAATATTAAAACCTTAATGATTAAACGAGAGTTGGCAAAAGATTCCAAATTAAGATTGCAAAGTTGGGAAAGATTTTTGCCACAGTTCAAGCACAAAAATGTGAACAAACGCAAGGAACCAAAGGAAAAAACTGTTAAGAAAGAGTATACACCATTCCCACCACCACAACCAGAAAGTCAGATTGATAAAGAATTGGCTAGTGGTGAATACTTTCTGAAGGCAAGTCAAAAGAAGTGACAGAAAATGGAAGCAATAAAGGCTAAACAAGCAGAAGCTCTCACTAAGAGACAAGAGGAAAGAAACAAAGCTTTTATTCCACCTAAAGAAAAGCCAGTTTTGAAACCTAAGGAAGCTTCTACTGAAATTAAAATTGATGTGGCTGCCATCAAGGAAAAGGTTAAGAAAGCAAAAAATAAGAAACTGGGAGCTCTCACAGCTGAAGAAGTTAAGCTTAAAATGGAAGTAGATGAAAAGAAAAAGAAGAAAAAGTAATACAAAAATACCCTGAACCTAGAACTTATTAAGCTATCTCCTTTTATAAAGGACTTTGAGGAACTGGGACATTAGTTGCCTTATGTGTAGGGAGTAATACTCTGATTGCTTTTTTCTAAGTTTTGTTCTTCATAACAATGTATATATATATATAATTGTTTCTAAAAATAAATTACTAGAGGCCCGGTGGGGGAAAAAATGTTCCATGTATACTTAAAAAGCATAGAAATTCTATCATTGTTAAATGTAGTGTTCTATAGCATATATTTCAGTTACATCAACTTTACTGTGTTGTTCATAGCTTTTACATATTTCCTGATTTTTTGCTGCAGTTACTATTGGGAGAGGGATATTACATTCCCCACTATGTTTATAGATTTCACTATTTCTCCTTTTAGTTCTGTCAATTTTTGTTTTAAATAATTTATAGCTATGTTGCTGGTTACTTACAAATTTAGAATTCTGCTATTTTCCTGTGAAGTTATCATTCAAATGTGTCATTATGAGACTGATATTCCTCTTTATGTCTAATATTATAACTATATCACTATTCTTCAGTTAAGGTTGCATGATGCACTTTTTCCAGCTTTTTAAAATCAAACTATATTATTTTTCTATTTAAATATCTCTTATAAGCCGCATAATTAGATTTTAAATATATTTTGTCAATCTTTTATTTTATTGGCATACTTCATTCATTTATAATTAGTGAAATTACTGATAGAGTTAGGTTTGCATGTAACATATTGTTTTCTCTCTTTTCTTTTTTGTTAACCTTCACCTGAGGATATTTTTTCCATGGATTTTTAGAGAGTGGAAGACAGCAAGAGGGAGGCAAGGAGAGAGCAGAGAGGAGAGAGAGAGAGATCAATTGGTTGTCTCTCACACATGCCACATGCCTCAACTGGGCCCCAGGAATGAACTTGCAACCCTTTGGCGTACAGGCTGACACACTAACAACTAAGCAATGCTGGCCAGGGCAATATATTTTTTCTATTTAGCTAACCTGATTATTTTTCTCTTTTTTGGACAAATCAGTTTATTCTTATTTCATGTTTTCTTCTATTAATTTATTTACTCTTTTCTATTTTTAAAACTTCAATCTACATTCTTCTTATATAAGTCTTCTATGAATTTCCATTTGATCCAACTGTCCCAAGAATTTTAGAAACTTAGACTATTTTAACTCAATTTACCCTCTTACATTGTCATTGTAATTTCCTATAAATTTTTATTTTATTGGACATTATGATTACTGTTTGGCATAGTCAATATTCACTTAATATTAAACCATATTTTTACTCTTTGTTAAGCATCCATTTCTTCCTACTTTTAATGTGTTTTATATGTTTCCATCTAGTATAATTTTCCTCCTGTCTGAACAGCTCTCTAGTTTTTCTGTTAATATAGGTTTGCTAGCAAATAATTCTGTCAGGTTTTCTTACAGGAAGATATCTTTGTTTTACCTTCATTCTCTCAGAATATTTTCTCTCAGAATATACTTCTATATTGGTAGTTATATGCTTTGGCATGTTAACGGTACCACTGCATGGAATGTTGGTTTCCATTGTTGAAGGTGAGACATCAGCACTCAGTCTTGTTGCTTCTTTGAAGGTAATGTGTTTCTCCATGTCTGGATGCTTTAAGATTTCTTTTTGTCTTTGGTTTTATAATGAGGTGCCTAAGTATAGTTCCTTTGATTTATCCTGTCTGGCTCTTGAATTTATGGGTTAATGTCTTTCCTGAGGTTTTTTTTTTTTAATCAATCTTTATTGTTCATATTATTACAAAGGTTCCTCATTTCTTCCCCCCTCCACCAGGTTCCCACCCCAACCTCCGCACCCTTCCCATCCCCCATTGTCCTCATCCATAGGTGCACAGTTTATGTTCAGTCTCTTCTTCCCTCCCTTTCCCCGGTAGTAAATCCCTTTTCAGATAGTAAATCAGTTACTTAGCATTTTCTCATATCAACAATACCTCCACATGCCCAATGATACACTTCACACAAAAGACATTTCCCAATAGGTCCACCAGCCTCATCCAGGCCCCACCCAAGGCACTCACAGATCAGCACCCCAGTCCTAAACTAACTCAACACATCCAGATCTAAGCCTTCATCACTTGATTCAGCAGACCCTCAAGTTCCCACTAAAGTTTCCAGCCATGTCTGAGAGGCAGCCGTGGGGCAGGGGCAGGCGAGGAGCGAGTTGTTCCGGGCCTGGCTGCTCAGGGCCTAGCCTCTGTTGCTCTGGCTCGTTCCACAACCAGCTGCTCCGGGTCTGGTCACTGCCGCTCCCTACCTAGTTGCTCTGGACTTGGCTGCTGCTGCTCCGGGCCTGGCCGCTCCCAGCCTGGCAGCCGCTGCTCCGGGCCTGGCCGCACCCGACTCGGCTGTCTTTCCTGAGTTTTGGAATATTTTTTACTATTATCTTCCCATATATTACTTCTGCCTCATTCTCTCCTTTTCTTGGATTCTATCAATAATTATATGTATGTTGTTACTTTTCACTGTTACCCATTGTCTCTTATGTCCTTGCCCTTTTTTTTTTTTCTCACTGTGCTTCATTTTTATATATTTTCTAATTGATCTGCTTTTGAGAATAATAATCCTGTGTTCTGGTATATCCATTTTTCTATTTAGCCCATCTATGGAGTTCTTAATATTATATATGGTGTTTTCAGTTTTAAGATGATTTCTCTTTCTCTTTTTTATTTTGTTTTGTGTTATTAATCCTCACCTAAGGAAATCTCTCCATTGATTTTTTAGAGAGAGTGGAAAGGAGAGGAAAAGACAGAGAGGAAGAGAGACATTAACTGGTTGCCTCAAACATGCACCAGGAATGGGGATACAGCCTGCAACCAAGGTACATGACTTGACTGGAATAGAACCCAGGATCCTTCAGTCACAGGCCAACACTCTATTTACTGAGCAAAACCAGCTAAGGCTGGTTACTCTTTTTTGAAGGGAAAAAAAAGCAACAAAATTCAATTTCTCTACAGAAATTTCAATTTTTTTTTGTCTATTTTATTGATTTCTTCCTCTATTTTCTTTTTTTAATTAATCTTTATTGTTGAGATTATTATAGATATTCCCCTCTCTCCCACATATCTCCCCTCCACCTGGTCCCCACCCTAGGCCCTCACCATCGTATTATCTATGTCCATAGGTAATGCATACATGCATATAAGAACTTTGTCTAATCTCTTTCTGCACTCCCCACACATACCTCCTTCCCTCTGAGAATCATCAGTCTGTTCCATTTCCATCCCCCTGATTCTATTCCATTCACCAGTTTATTCTGTTCATCAGATTTTTCATTCATTTGATTTTTAGATTCAATTGTTGATAGATATGTATTTGTTGTCACTTTGTTATTCATATTTCTATTTTAAAAATATATTTTTATTGATTTTTTATTGATTTCAGAGAGTAAGGAAGAGAGAGAGAGAGAAACATCAATGATGAGACAGAATCTTTGATTGGATTCCTCCTGCATGCCACCCACTGGGAATCAAAACCACAACCTGAGCATGTGCACTTGACTGGAATCAAACTTGGGACCCTTCAGTCCGAAGGCTGACATTCTATCCCCTGAGCCAAACTAGCTAGGGCTATTATTCATATTTTTTATCTTTTATCTTTTTCTTCTTCCTTCTCTTCTCAAGGAGGAAGAAGTATTTCATATAATACTGGTTTGGTGGTAATGAACTCTTTTAGTTTTTTCCTGTCTATGAAGCTCTTTATCTGACCTTCAATTCTGAATTATAGCTTTGCTGGGTAGAGTAATCTTGATTGTAGGTCCTTGTTATTCATCACTTTGAATATTTCTTACCACATCCTTTTGGCCTACATAGTTTCTGTTGAGAAATCCGCTGATAGTCATATGGGCACTCCCTTGTTGGTAACTGTTTTTCTCTTTCTGCTTTTAATATTCTCTCTTTGTCTTTTGCCCTTGGCATTTCAATTATGATGTGTCTTGGTGTGGTCCTCTTTGGATTCCTCTTGTTTGAGGTTCTCTGTGCTTCCTGGACTTGTAAGTCTGTTTCTTTCACCAGGTAAGGGAAGTTTTCTGTCATTATTTTTTCAAATAGGTTTTCAATATCTTGCGCTCTCTCTTTACTTCTGGCACCCCCATAATTCTAATGTTAGTACACTTGAGGTTGTCCCAGAGGCTCCTTACACTATCTTTATATCTTTGGAATTTTTTTTTTCTTTTTGCTCTTCTGATTGGGTGTTTTTTGTTTTTTTTTTCTTTCTCGTATTTTAAATCATTGATTTGATTCTCAGGATCCTCTAGTCTACTGTTGAATTTCTGTATATTATTCTTTATTTCAGTCATTGTATGCTTAATTTCTGACTGGGTCCTTATCCATTTTTTTTTTTTTTTTTTTTTTTTTTTTTTTTTGGCATTCTCACTAAGATCCTTGAAAAACTAAGTTCCTCAGAGGATTCTAGAAGATTCTGAGCAGCCTTAAAACTGTGATTTTGAACTGTATATCTATTAATTTGTTTTCTTTCATTTCTTTCATTTCTTTCATTTGTGACATGTTTCTTTGTCTCCACATTTTAGCTGCTTTCGTATGTTTGTTTATATGTATTAGGTAGCTGCTAAGTCTCCTTGAGTTAATAGAGTAGCTTGTGTCCTATAGGGATCCACCTCCACAATTACCTAAGGTAGCACTCTTAATGCACCCTTTTGTGGGATGTGTCCATAGTTTTGTTGTAGTTAAGCCTTGATTACTGTTGGTGTCACTGGGAGGAATTGACTTCCAAGCCAATTGGCTGTGGGGACCAGCTGTGACTATAGTGGGAGAGCTGCTGTGCAGGAGACACCCTTATGGAGAAGAACTTACTTCAGTGGGACTTTGGTGCTCACTGAGTCTGCCCCTTGAGTGTGTCACTTACAAATGTGAACAGTTGTAATCTGATATGGTCTCACATTGACGTCTGGAAAGTCTCTGGAAGGTCTCAGAGTCTAATTAGCATATTACTCATTTTT